ACTCTTCCAATCAGTTAACCAGGTACTTGTCTTCCAAATTTCTTGGCGTAGATGAGTGAGCGCCTCCAGTACTGCATCAGTTGTTGAAAGATTCCAATTTTTATTTTATCGATTCCTGGAGCCTTGTTTTTCTTCAGTGCCTTCAGTGCAGCTTGGACTTATTCCTTTAGTACCATCAGTTCTTGATCTTGTTACCTCTTTAGATGGTTAAACATTGTCCATTTCTTTTAGGTACAATGACTTTATGTGTACCTTCCATCTTCTTTTGATGTTTTCTGATTTATTCAAAATTTTGCCCATAGAGTCCTTCAGTATTGCAATTTGAGGGCTTGGAGTTTTCATTATAATAGTCGCTTCATTATAGTACTTGACTTAATCTTCTCAAGCTGCCTTCTGACATTTCTGCTCAGTTCTTTGCCTTCCTCACTTCTTCCATTTGCTTTAGTATCTCTATGCTGGAGAGCAAGTTTCAGAGTCTCTTCTGACATCCATTTTGGTCTTTTCTTTCTTTCTAGTTTTTTAATGACCTTTTGCTTTCTTCTGGTATGATATTATTGATGTCATCCCACAACTCTTCTGGTCTTCAGTCATTAGTTTTCTAATGCATTAAGTCTGTCCTTGAGATGGTCTCTAGATTTAGGTGGGATGTATTCAAGGTTATGTTTTGGCTTCCATGGACTTTTTAAGTTCTTTTTCAACTTCAGTCTGAATTTGCATATGAACAATTGATGGTTTCTTCCACAGTTGGCCCCTAACCTTGTTTTGGCCCCTAACCTTGTTTTGGCCCCTAACCTTGTTTTGGCTGATGGTATTGAGTTTTTCCACTATCTCTTCCCACAAATATTGTCAGTTTGGTTTTCCATATTCCATCTGATAAAGTCCATGTGTATAGTCACCTTCTATGTTGTTTAAAAAAGATATTTGCAATGAATAAGTTACTGGTCTTGCATAATTCTATCATGTGATCTCTAGCATCATTTCTGTTACCAAGGCCAACTGATGACTGGCTAACTACTGATCCTTTCTCTTATTTACATCCTTCACATTCCAGTCACCATGATTATCATTGCATCTTGATTTCATGTTTGATCAGTTTCAGACTAAAGAAGTTGTTAGAATTCTTCAATTTCATCCTCACTGGCTTTAGTGGTTGGTGCCTAAATTTGAATAATAGTGGTATGAACTGGTCTTCCTTGTTGGCCTTGTATGTATGTGGACATGCTATCACAGCTTTCTACTTCAGGTAGAGCTTGAAATGTTCTTTTTTGATGATTAGTGTGACCCTATTCCTCTTGAATTTGTCTTTCCTGGCATACTAGGGTATATGATTGTCAAATTCAAACTGGCCAGCACTACTCCATTTCAGCTCACTAATGCCTAGAATATCCATCTTTATGTCTTCTATTTCATTTTTGACAAGTTCCAATTCTCCTAGAGTCATACTTTGTACATTTCATGTTCTGATTATTAATGGATATTTGCAGCTGTTTCTCATTTTGAGTTGTGCCTCATCAGGAAATGAAGCTTTCTTCCGTTCACATCTGATAGTCAACTCTACTTTGAAGAGGCAGCTTTTTGCCAGTCAATTTTGAGTGCCTTCCAATCTGAGGGGTTCAACTTCTGACAATATTCTGCTGCTATTCATAAGGTTTTCAATGGCTAAATGTTAAGAAGTAGTCCACCTCTCCTTCTTCCTGACCTGTTTTAGTGTGGAATCTCAGCTGAAATCTGTCCACCATGGGTGACCCTGCTGGTATTCAGAATACTAGCAGCATAACTTTAGCATCATAACAACACAAAAGCCACCACACAGCACGTACAACAGATTGACTGATGGGTGGTGGTTAAAGCCTTGGACATTTTGCAAAATTGCCTTCCAGAAATATGCCAAGAATTTTTACTCTTAACCAGTTGTATGAATGTAAGTAAAAAAGTATTGCTACAAATGTATATAAAACATTGTTAATCAAAATATGAAGCTATTGTTTCTCTACATATCCTCCATCTAAGTCTGTATATTTCTAAAGGCACTATTTCTATCTTTTTAACACTCTTGTACAGATGTTGCACTGTTTGATTTACACCACTCAGAAATGCAGTTTTGGCATCCTTGAGGGACTAAAATTTAGTTCCTTTTAAATGGCCTTTCAGTTTAGAAAGCAAAAAGAAGCCTGAAAGGAGTAAGATCGGGGCTACAGAGTGAATTGGATAAGGTTTACCAATGAAATTCTTATAAGACAACCATTATTACCTTCAAAATGCATAATCTTGATGGAAAAAATTCCTTGGTGCAACTTTATTGGCCATTTTCTCACCATTGCAGTTTTCAGTTTTCTTAAAATTTCTTTATAATAAGCCCCTATGATCATCTTGGGTACTTTGGAATCTCAAAAACAGTTGTCATACCCTTTTTAGTTGACCTCTTTGCCTTGAATTTAACTAGCCCAGGTTATACCTTGATCTCTGGGTCTTACTGGTAAATCCAAGACTCATCCCCAGATACAATTTGTTCCATGAAATTGTCATTAACTTTGGTCCTGCTTAAAAAACTTAAGGAGAGATCAGGCCATTGATTCATCTTATCTTGATGCACCATTTTTGGCACCCATAGAGTCAAAAGTTTGTTGAGGTCAAGATATCTGCTTAGAATTAAAATTGCTGAACCATGTGAGATCCCAATTTCAGTAGTTACAGCATCAGTGGTAATTTTGTGGTCTTCCACCAGTTTGGGACTTTAATCAATGTCTTCACTTGTCAAGACTGGTGGTCTTCCCTCTCTTGGCTCACGTTTGAGGTCTTCCCAGCCTTCCTTAAAAATACTTGATGCATCTAAACAATTGTGGTTTTATGTGAGCAACGTTCCTATAAACTTGTTGCAAAACTTCAACCATTTGGGAAGATGTTCACTAAAGTTTTGTTAAAAATTTTATATTAGCCCTGATCTCAAAATTGTTTTTACCGTGGCATAGAAATGTTCTTTATTTGAAGGCACCCCAATGACACTAAGACAAGTGTGTTGCTGAGAGAATTGCCTGCAGCCATCCACTGATCACAGAGATATGTTGAAACATGTTTTGTTTGGAATAAATCCATGCACATATATTAACTGAAACCCTAGTAGCAATATTTTTTGACTTACCTAGTATGTGTATCGAATTTTTGTTTTTAATAGACAGGCTAGCTCTGAGAAGCCTTTAATGTGCAAATACCAATGATTAACAAATAATTTCAACTCTGGAATGTAATTGTCTTTGGAAAGAAAATGCCATTGCATTTGAACGAGCCCTGATTGAAATTAATAAAATAAATGAAGGATATACGGACTTCTTTCAACTAATAGGAGTCATTCTGAAGACCCGAATGTCACGAAGGCTACATACATAAATGTTGTTGTTGTTAAATACTGTCAAGTCTCAGAACAAACCTGAATAGGATTTCCGAGGAGCAACTGGTGAGTTTGAACCTCTGAGCTTATGGTTCAAAGCGACCTTTCAGTCCAGTGCTTATCCTATAGCGCTACACCAGGTCTAGTTTAAGTAGTAATTGTCAGACTTTTATGTTTATCAGAATCATGAGGGGAAAAGCTTTTAAAATTTTTAGACTTTAGGATCCTACCCAGAGTATATGTGTGGAAACCACACTGTTGTTGTTGTTATTGTTAAGTGCTGTCGAGTCTGTTCCGACCCTTAGCGACCTTGTATAGGGTTTCCCAGGAGCAACTGGCGAGCTTGAACCTCCGACCTTGCAGTTCAAACGGCTTTGCAGTGTGGTGCATTAACCCACAGCACCATACTAGGACTCCAGAAACCACAGTAAAAAACACTAAATTAGAGTAAACACACTAATGAAATCTTTTTAAACCTGAAAGGGAGGTGTAATATGTAATGTTGTAACTAGCATCAAGCTTGTTTTACAGAACAAAAGCGCAGTATAGCGTACACTATGGAAATATTTAGACTGAGTTTGTTACTTTAGGCCATTGTTAAAATAACAACAGTAATCATAAGAATGATGATTGTTGCTGTTGTGTGGCAGGGGGTTGATTTCCAATTCATAGCAACCCCATGTTATTAGTACTGGTTGCTATTCATTTTAAGTTAAATAAAATCAGTTGTAGTGCAGATATTTGCATTTCTTTCTAACTTAACTTCTCAATCTGTTTCCTCTTACTTGTTTTCATAATAGTTATACTTCAAATGGTTATACTGTTTTAATTATACTCGTCATTGACTTAATTTGTACTTCACCGTATCTTGTTGATAAGTCTGTACCTGAGGATGACCTTTTTGTGGCTATGTAACATCATCCCAGACATCAGTAGCTACCTGATGACCACTTAAAAATTACAGGAAATAGCTTCTGTACGAATCCTGGTGTGGTGCTGCTGGTTAATGCGCTGAACTGTAAGGTGGATCTGAACCACAGGCTTGGAGGTTCAAGCTCACCAGCTGCTCCTCAGAAACCTTTTACAGGCTCACTATGAGTCAGAACCAACTTGAAGGCACTTTAACAACAACAGCTTCTTTAGGTCCTAATTAAAAATACAGCCCTAATCTATTTGGTTTAATTCAGGCATTTATCCCAAAGTTTGCTATTATTTCAGATGCTTAAAAAGGGGAAATTGACTAGATGATTTTTAGGGTTTGCTGTCAATTCATATTTTGTGCTTTGGTTGTTATGTTGTTAAGTGCTGTCTAGTTAGTTCCAACTCCTAGTGACCCCAGGATTTCAAAGGAGTGTCTGGTGGGTTTGAACCACCAACCTTGCAGTTAGCAAGTCCAGTGCTTATCCTGCAGCGTTACACCAGGCCCCCATTCTTGTAGCTAATGGGCCTTAATTTGAAACTACATGTAGGCACTGCCAATGCTTGGAATAGGACATGGCTACTTTAGATACATGATTTCTTGGTTTTCTGAATATGAAGTTTTCATCCATTTCTTTTCTGTTTCCATATAACTGTAGCCTATCAGAATTGCTTAGAGTATATTTTTAATATCTAGGTGGAAGTAGTGAAGCTGACTGAGAAATGTCTTAATAATGCAATCGAGAGCCCAGGAATGAATGCCGTAAGAGTCCCTCCTGACTTCAAGAGTAACATTTTGAAGGCTCAAGTAGAAGCAGTGCATAAGGTAAGCCACTGTAAGAACAGATAATGTTATTGTTGTTGAGTGTTGTTGAGTTGGTTGCAACTCATAGCAACCCTGTACAGGGTTTCTGAGGAGCAGCTGGTGGAATTGAACTGCCAACCTTGTGGTTCAAAGTCCAGTGATGATCCTACAACACCACACCAAGATTCCAAGAACAGGTATAGACATGAATAAAATAAATGTAGGTAAAATAAGGGGACCTAACAAATAGATAGTGTATAGTATAAAAAAATAAAAACAAAGATTTGACTTTCTCAGTTCGAAAGCCAAAGCAACCTAAATTAAGAGGGAGCTGTCATGGGATTAAAAAGTAAAGAGTAAAGAGTCTTTGAAATTATAAAAAGTAAAAAAAAATAAGTTTCTATAAAAATGAATTCATGTCTTTAGTTGTAATATGGAAGGATTCTATACATAAAATATTGAATGAGGTGTGATGGTGGTGGTGATGTGCCGTGGAGTCAGTGCCGACTCACAGTTACCCTGTACAGGGTTTCCGAGGCTGAAATCTTTACGGGAGCAGATAGCCTCATTTTTCTCCCATGGAACAGCTGGTAGTTTTGAACTTCTGACCTTAAAGTTAGCAGCCCAACTCGTAACATCTACGCTACCAGAGTTCCTATTGAATGAGGCAGGGAGCATCAAAATAAGGAGTAAGAAATATGCAGAGTCATTTTCCCAAAAAGAGTTGACTGACATTCTGCCATTTCAGGAGGTAGCATATGATCAAGAACTGGTGGGAATGAAAGAAGAAGTCCAAGTTGCACTGAGGCATTGGCAAAACACAAGAGGCTCCAGGAATTGACCCAATAACAACTGAGGTGTTTCAACAAATAAATGCAATGATGGAAGCACTCATTCCCCTTTGTCAAGAAACTTGGAAGATGGCTCCCTGTCCAACCAACTGGAAGACATCCATATTGGTGTCTATTCCAAAGAGAGGTGGTCTAATAGAATACAGAAATTATCGAACATTATCATTAATGTCACACACAAGTAAAAGTTTGCTGAAGATAATTAAAAATGGTTGCAGCAGTACACGGACAGGGAACTGCCAGAAAGTCAAACCAGATTCAGAAGAGGACATGGAACAAGGATTATCATTGCTGACTTCAGATGGAGCTTGGCTCAGAGCAGAGAATATCAGAAAGATGTCTGCCTGTATTTTATTGCCTATGCAAAGGATTCGACTCTGTGGATCATAACAAATTATGGATAACGTTGGGAATAATGTAAGTTCCAGAGCACTTAATTGTGCTCATGTGGAACCTGTTCATAGACCAAGAGGTGGTTGATGTTGCTTGGTTCCAAATCAGTAAAAGTGTGCTTCAAAGTTGTATCCTTTCATCATATTTATTCACTCTGTATGGTGAGCAAATAATCTGAGAAGCTGGACTATATGAAGAAGAAGGTGGCATCAAGATTGGAAGAAGGGTCATTAATAACCTCAGATGCGCAGATAACACAACCTCAGCCTCTTGGCCTCTACTCTGCTGAAGCATGTTACAAAGCTCTTCTAGTTCTGCTGATAAATGCCCAAAGGGCACCACACTACACTATAAGCCTCAGTCCAAAGGAACTCAGCTCTAGCTCTTTGGGTCAGCAAACCTAGTTTCCCAATTAAATGCCTGGAGGAACTCCAGAAGTTAGCCTCCTGCTCAAAGGCACTCAGTTTTCCTTGCTCCATGGGGCAGGAAGCCCCTGTTCTGTCTTGTACTCTGGCGCTTTGTTTTGCTGCTGCCAATCCTCTTTATTGCAGTCACTTATGTGCTGGATCAAGGGGGTTCAGTGGACATGGTTCTCGAATCTAAAGGACATGCTATACTCCTGACTCTTCTTTCTTGATGGTAGTGAGATTCCCTTCTTCCTGCTTATGAGATGGCTCATTTTATACCCAGCAGGATGGCAAAATTGACTGAGCTCCACATAAAGTTTTACCATCACAATTAATCCTATTAACAAACTCTCACCTCTGAGTTATATAATCTGTCATCTTCCCCCTCCTCTTGCCCATACCTATTAGGAAAAAGTCATTTTGTGGGAGTTACAAAGACTGTCGCCAGAGGAGTCATATTAAATAATTGTATAATCCACTGTAGATTATTAAAGATAGTCTTTATCTTTTTTGCTGACTCTCTGCTTTACTAAGCCTGATGTCCTTTTCCAGGGACTGGTCCCTCTTAATAAAATGTCCAAAGTATGTAAAACAAAGTCTCACCTTCCTCGCTTTCAGTGAGCCATCCGACTATACTTCTTCCAAGACAGATTTGTTCATTCATCTGGTCTGTGATATATTCAGTATTCTTTGCCAATACCATAATTCATCAACTTTTCTTTGGTCTTTATTCACTGTCTGGTTTTCCCATGTCCAGCATTATGAAGCTCTGGAAAAAGTCTTCAAAGTGACATCTTTGCTTTTTAATTCATTAAAGAGATCTTTTGCAGCAAATTTGCCCAATGCAGTATGTCATTTAATTTCCTGGCTGCTGTTTCCATGGATATTGATTGTGGATCAAGTAAAATGAAACCCTTGACAACTTCAATCTTTTCTCCATTATCATTATGTTCCTTATGAGTTTTGTTTTCTTTATGTTGAAGTGTAATCCATATTGAAAGCTGTAGTCTTTAATCTTCATCAATAAATGCTTCAAATCATCTCTCTTAGCAAGCAAGGTTGTATCATCTGCATATATGAGGCTATTAATGACCATCCTCCAATCTTGATGCCACCTTCTTCTTTATAGACTCCTAAAATTATCCTTCAAATACTTCTGAGTATTTGCTCACCATACAGATTGAGTAAGTATGGAGAAAGGATACAACTCTGACGCGCACTTTTCCTGATTTTAAACCATTCAATGTCCCCTTGTTCTATTTAAACGATTGCCTTTTGGTCTAGGTACAGGTTCCTCATAAGTACAATTAAGTGTTCTGGAAGTCCCATTCTTCCCAGTGTTATCTATAGTTGTTAAGATCCACATGGTTGAGTGGCTTAAAACCCATAAACCATAAAAGATGCTTTGCACAAGCAAGCATCTTTCTGGTATTCTCTGCTTTCAGTCAAGATCCATCTGACATCAGCAATGATATGCCTAGGTCTATGCTTCTTCTGAATCTGGCTTGAATTTCTGGCAGCTCCTTGTCAATGTACTGCTGCAACTGTTTTTTAATTATGTTCAGCAGAATTTTATGTGTGTGTCATATTAATGATAATGTCTGATTATTTCCATATTCCACTGGCTCACCTTTTTTTGGGATGGGTACAAATATGGGTCTCCTCCAAATTTCTTGGCATGCATGAGTGAGTGCTTCCAGTGCTGCATCAGTTTGTTGAAATATTTTAGTTGTTGTTGAGTATCTTTCCACCTGAGAGGCCCATCTTCTCGCACTGTGTTCTGACAGTGTCCTGCTGCTGATCACAGAGGTTTTCAGGGGGTAACCATTCAGAAGTGGTCTGCCTCTCCTTCCTAGTCTGCCTTAGTCTGGAAGCTCTACTGAAACCTGTCTACCATGGGTGACCCTGCTGGCATTTAAATTAACAGGTGGTATAGTTTCACAGCAACACACAAGCTACCACCGTATGACAAACTGACAGAAGAGTGGTAGAATGCGAGCCTACTACCCAGCAAATCAAAACAAAGAAATCAGTGATCTGTGCAACATCATGGTGAATCTCAAAAACATCATACTGCTCTAAAGAGGCAAACAAAAAATTTTACTTACAGGAAACTACTAAATATGACTTTTGTTTGCTTCATGGAAGGGTCTTTGATGCGATAGCATAGGAACAGCCTGAGGGAACTTTTATCTGGCGGCGAGGGCGTGCTGTAGGGAACTGTTACATATATTGGTTATACTTGGTTATGCATCTGTGTTTTTCAATATTCATTGAGTCGTTCACATTATACTGTATGTAAATTAATAGCTCCTTAAAGTTGGGGAGAAAACCAGTTTCTCCAGAAAGATTTTTTTAGAAAGTAAAAATTAGCACTGGACTTTGAACCACAAGGTCAGAAGTTGGAGCTTACCAGCGTCTCCAAAGCAGAAAGATGAGGCTTTCTGCTCCTCTAATGATTTACAGCTTCAAAATCTCTATACAGGGTCACTATGAATCGGAACCAACTTAATGGCTCTTACAGCAGCAAAATATTCCTTGCATTTGGGGAAAAAAACAAAACAAAAACAAATATACATCTTAACATCTGTTCTTTTTTTATCACATGAATTTGAAGAGCTCTGGTGTGAATCTTTTTAGCTAATACTGTTTCCGTGTAAATAATTGAAAGTGGTGTAGTAAGAGTTTGTGAATCTCTATGTTGTGAATCATAGGGACATTAAAGCCTGAATTATTAATATGGATATGGATTTAGGATTGCATGAGGTACAGTACTGATATTTCGGTAGATAAGTTGTAATTCCTCTTTCTTGAACTGAAGTAAACAGATAATTTTACTCTTACTGGTAAGATACTTAAATTTGTTACATTAGTGTCCTCAACAAAGATTCATATTTTTAAAATCATTTCATTTTGTTAGGTTACAAGAGAAGACAGCTTGTTAAGTCATAAAAATTCCAGTGTTCAGGATGTTGCTGCAAACAGGTACATTTTTGAGTGGGCTGAATTAAACTAATGTTCTTCTCTTTTCCTAACTTTTTAATTTCTTTTTTCCTCCTCCCCAATTCATCACCAGTCAGTTACAAGTTACTTTCTGTAGCTGCCTAGTACCTAATTTTAGATTATTTTAAGATACTCCTAAGTGGTGGTGTTGTTAAGTGCCGTGGAGTCCACCTTACCAAACATGATATCCTTCTCCAGCAACTGGTCCCTCATGACAATATATACGAAGTATGAGAGATGAAGTTTGGCCATCCTGGCCTCCAAGGATTACTCATCATGAATTCTCTTGGTAATCAAACAGGTTTCTTTGTTGCTTCTTCCTTCCCTTTTCTTCTCGATCTCTTCTTTAATGAAGATTATATGACTGTTTTAGACCCTACTCTATGCCAGTAAGAGGAGGTAAGGTAAGGTGAAGCATCAGAGAAAAAGAGGAAGACCCCCAGCAAGATGGATTGGCAAAGTGGCAGCACCAATAGGTTTAAGCGTGAGGGTGGCCCAGGATTGAGCCGTGTTTTGTTCTGTTGCACATAGGGTCACTATGAATCTGTACTGACTCGATGACACCTAACAACAACAACAACAACAACAACTGTGCCAGTTTGTTTAGTTCACCACTGCATAGTGAGTGTTTGGTGCTAAGTTGGTGCTCCCGTCAAGATTTACAGCCTCGGAAACCCTGTACAGAGTTGCTGTTAGTCGGAACTGACTCCACGGCACGTAACCACCACAACCACCAACTCTGTAATAAGTTTTGAAATTGGAAATGAGCTGTTTTCTTACTGTGTTATTTTTCAGGATTGTTTTGGCTATTACAGGGCCACTTAAATTTTTATATGAATTTGAGGATGGGCTTTTCTGTTTCTAAAGAAAAGGCTACTGGATTATGTTGAATCTGTAGTTTGCTTTGGGGAATATTGCTCTTTTCAATGATCTGTGTTGACAGAGAAAGGTCTTATATGTAAAGAAAGATAATTTAAGCTTTCTATCACCATTGAATATGATGTTTTCTGTAGGTTATTCATATGTGGCCTTCATTGTGTTGAGGAATTTTCCTTTAGTTCTTAGTTTTTTTGAGTGTTTTTATTATGAAAGAATATTGGATTTTGTGATAGCTTTTTCTGCATTAGCTGAAATGATTTGTCTGTTATTGGTTTTTTTCCTTTATTCAATTGTAGTGTTTCATACAGATTGATTTTTGTATGCTGAACCACTCTTGTGTTCCTAAGATAAATCTTACTTTAGCATTATATATAATTCTTTTAATAACGCTGTTAAATTCAGTTTGCTACTATTTGGTGAGGATGCTTGCATTGTTATTCATAGGAGATACTGGTGTGATTTTTGTTTTGTTTTTTTCTTGTAATGTCTTTGACTTTGGTATGAGTGCAGTGCTGGCTACATAGCATGAGTTAGGAGGTCTTCTCTCCTCATAATTTTTTGGAAGAGTCTGAAAAGAATTGGCGTTAATTTTGTCCCAAATGTTTGTCAGTGAAGCCATCTGGTCCTGGACTTTTCTTTGTTGGGAGGTTTTTGACTACTGATTCTGTCTCTTTACTTGTTTTTGTTTTTTGATTGTGAATATCTGTAGTAGTCTATTCATTTAATGACTTATACCAACTTTTTTTTTTTTTGCAGCCTATCCTTCTTGACATGTGTAGTCATTTTACTCTATCTCTTTAGCATGTGTTCAGCTATTGTTTTGACAGACATTTCCTTGAACACCTTAAAAAAGAAAAACAAAACAAATTAAACAACAAAGAAAAAACATCTCTCTCAGTCTTTGCAGATTGGCTGCATGCTGGGGCACTCCTTCAATTCTTAACCTTACTTAGTGATTAGTCTGAGGTAAAATTTAGGATTCCCTCAGGTCTTTACTGAGTATGCATCTTGCCCTTGGCATATGTGTGATTTTCTAAAAATTTCTGTCTGCACAGGTGCTTTTGAATGCCCTAATTCCCTCCAAAACTTTGTCTCCCTGCCCTTAGGCAACCTTTTATATGTCTCAGTTGTACTTTTTGCCCCTGGTGCTGCAAGTTCATCATTTGCCTTACAGTATTTGGGGCAGCGTGTGCTGCTTTTGTGCCCTCAGTGAGTTCCAAGACAGGTAAAACAAATAAGCACCTTACTTTAGCCTTGTAAGTAGCCATCCAAAGAAAAGAGAAGCACAGTAATTTGTGAATAAGGTCTGCTCTGCTCCTCCAGAACCAGGACCAGGTTTCCATACTGGGAATGAATATGGACTACTATCTTTGAGCCAGTCACCAAACTGGGGAGGTTGTGGGACACATACAAGTGAAAAGCCGCAAAGCTTTCTACTTTGTGCTGTAAACCTCTTATTGTTTCTTAGCGTTCTACAAACTTGGTTCTGACCGTTGCTCATTGTTTTTTGATGTTTCTGTAGAGGTGGAACTTCTTGCTCTGCCATTTTGCTGATGTCATTCTCTGTCTTGTATGAAAAGATGTAAGGACATCTTTTCTATCATTTCTCTGAATTTAATGCTTTTGTGGGAAACTGCAACATTTAATCTGTCCATAATCTTGAAATCCTCTTCTACTTTGTATTTTTCAGTTTTTCTGTCTTAAATATTTATTCCTTTGTTAAAGATAAAATTTTTTTCTGCCATTTTAGTGCTATTTCAGGAGGAAAGCAAGACAGTCCATCATGTTTCCCCATCTGTGTATGAGTCTGACCTGGACATCCACCACTCTGTGATGTGGCAGATGGGGACGGAAATATTTCCTTCAGTACAATAATGTCCGTTGTCACACTGCTGACTCTGTGCTTTTTCCATATATGTTTTTACCCCTAAACCCATTGCAGTTATCTAGTACTTTTATAACAGAATACCTCGTGGCTGCCTTTAACAAACAGACTGTATTTTCTCACAGTTGAGAAGACTAGAAGTCTAAATTCAGGGTGCTTAGCCCTAGGGGAAGACTTTCAATCTCTGTTGGCTCTCGGGAAAGGGCTTTGCCTCTTCTCAGCTTCTGTTTCTTGGTTCTTTAGCAATCTCATGTGGCATGGCATCTGTCTTCCCCCTTGCTTGCTTGCTTGCTGAATCTGGTCTTTTATATTTCATTAACATAACAAAGAAACCCATTCCCAAATGGGAATCTAACCACTGGTATTGGGGTTTAGGATTTGCAACACATATTTTGGGGAGAGACAGTTCAATCCATATCTTTCCTTTGAAAATGCTCCCTCTGCCTGTATGTTGTTGTTATGTGCCATGGAGTCGGTTCCAACTCATAGCAACCCTGTACAGGGTTTCCGAGGCTGTAAGTCTTTACGGGAGCAGAAAGCCTCATCTTTCTCCCATGTAACAGCTGTTAGTTTCGAACTGTTGACCATGAGGTTAGCAGCCCAATTTGTAACCACTATACTACCAGAGCTCCTGCCTGTATAGCACCTCCATTATGTGACTTTTTTTCTTCTCAGTGCTCCATTCAATGAGAATAAAACGTCCCTCCCCAAAGATCCTCTTGTTTTGCTGCCTACCACGCCTACAGAAAATGGTTCTGTTCTAAAGGTAAGTATGCTTTTATTTCTTAAGTCTTCGCCAGAGACAATACTGAGTTGAATCTTGTAATGTAACCAGAGGCATCTAGTTATTTTTGATTGACACATGGACTTGTGCTGTGCAAAATGCATTGGGGCTCAGTGCTTTAGCTTGACGCCTATTGCCACATACCTCACAAGAATATTTCAGGACTTCTGCTAGCTATGCTTCTACTCATTATTATTATTTTGTTTTAAAATAAACATTGTTACATGAAAAATAGGTACTTCTTAGATACATGAATGGTGACATTATTGAGTTGCATGTTCTAATTTGTTGTAGAATTTAAGCTCTGTAGAATATTTGATCCATTTCATTATGGCTGTATTCCTAGTGCCTCAAGCAGTCCATGACATGTAACAAGCACTAAGAAAATATTTGTTCATTGAAAGAAGCAATTTAGGATAACGAGGACTTATAATTGATTCTGTTGCAACATAACCAAGCTCATCCCCATTTCTGCCTTCCCTTAAACACTTAGCACACCTGTCCTTGTTCAGAAAGCATAGAAGCTCAGTTCATTGCCTACTGAATGTTTCAGTTTTATGTGTTAAATAAAAAATTATCTTTGCAAATGACCATTTACCATTTTGTTATCTAATGTACATTTTTATAGACATTTGCCAAATATTTCATAAAAAGAAAGAAAGAAAAAGGAAATCATTTAAATTCCCACCACCCAATGATGAGACCATATTTTGCCACAAAGAATGCATATGATATATAATTTTTTGTAAAACTCATAACTCCTCACATGCTAGTTTCCTATGCACACTGTGCACATTGTATATGTGTACATGTTAGTTACATGGGCATATAACATGTCAAACATACAGTACATAGCTCATATTAAAGCATATCATCTTTGAACTTTAATTCAACATAAAATACTATTTTGAATCAGGAGTTCCCATTCTGCCAGTTAAAATGTTAAAAAGATATATTAATATCTTTATTTTTAAAAATCATAAACTAGCACCTACAATGTTCTTAAAACATAGGAGGACATCTTGTTTCAACATGCCTTCTTACGCATGTAACATGTCAGTTGGTTGTACTGTGGTGGCTGGCCTGTTGCTGTCATGCTGACAGCTATGCCACTTAATCACCAGCACGGTACCCATGGTGAGCAAGTTTCAGCAGAACTTCTAGATTAAAACAGACTAGGATGAAAAACAGAGAGGCGAACTACTTCTGACTGAAAACCACATGAATAACAATGGCATACTGTCAAATACCAACAGAATATTGAAACATTATGAATAGCACCAGAATATTGTCAGATACAGTGCCAGAGGAGAACTCCTCAGGTTGGAAGGCATTCAAAATATGAGGTTGGTGGTTCAAATTCACCAGCCTCTCCTCGGAAACCCTATACAGGATCGCTATGAGTCAGAACTGACTCAAAGGCACTTAACAACAACAAACCATATACAGCCTCCTGATGGGGTGCTGTAGGATAGACTCTGGACTGCAAACCACAAGTTTGGCAGTTCAAACCCACCAGCCACTCCGGGCAAACCCTATACAGGATCGCTAGAGTTGGAACTGACTCAAAGGCACTTAACAACAATAAGGAAGACCAGTTAATACTAGTATTATTCAAATGTATGCATCCATGACAAAAGCTAGTGATGATGAAATTGAAGAATTCTGCCATTCCTGGTGTGGCACTGTAGGATAAGCCCTCAGGCACAAGGTTGAATTGAACCACAAGGTTGGGGGTCCAAACTCCCGAGCTACTCCTTGGAAACCATATGCAGGGTAGCTATGAGTCAGAACCTACTTGACAGCAACAAAAGCAACAACTCCTTCAGTCTGAAATTGATAAAAAATGCAGTCAAGATGCATTGATAATTACTGGTGACTGGAATGCATAATCTGGAAACAAAGTTAGGTAGTTGGAAAAAATGGCCTATCTTTGATTGAAATGATGCTGGAAGTCTCATGATAGAATTTTGCAAGACCAACGACTTATTCATTGCAAATACCTTTTTAAACAACATATAAAAGATTGTTTTCTGGATCTCACCAGATTGAATACACAGGAATCAAATTTACTACATCTTTGGAGAGCTCATTATCATCAGCCAAAACCAGGTAGGGGCTCACTGAAATAGACCATAAATTGCTCATATACAAGTTCAGGTCGATGTTGAAGAAAATAAGTCCACGAGAGCCAAAATACAACTTTGAATGTACCCCACCTGAATATAGAGGCCATCTCAAGACCAGATTGGGATGACATCAATAATCAAATAGGAAGAGGGCAAAAGGTCATTAAAAAGACAGGAAAGGAAGAACTGACAAAAACAGATGTAAGAAGATACGGAACCTTGCATTCAACATAGAGAAGTGAAAGCGAATGGAAGAACTGAACAGAAAATTTCAAAGGGCAGCCTGAGAAAGAAGACAGAAGTCAAGCATTATAATGAAATGTACAAAGACCTGGAATTAGGAAACCAAAAGGGAATATCACATTTAGCATTTTTCACACTGAAAAAAACTGAAGGAAAAATTCAAGCCTCAGCTTGTAATATTGAAGGATTCTGGAGCTCTGGTAACATAGTGGTTACGAATCCGGCTGTGAACTGCAAGGTCAGCAGTTGAAAACTACCAGCTGTTCCACGGGAGAAAGATGAGGCTTTGTGCTTCCGTAAAGATTTACAGCCTCAGAAACCCTATACAGGGTTGCTATGAGTCGGAACCAACTCCACGGTACTTAACAACAACAACAACAACAACAACATGAGCAAAATATTGAATGACTCAAAAAGCAGCAAAAGAAGATGGAGTCACTGTACCAAAAAGAAATGGTTGATGTTCAGTCAGTTCAAGAGTTAGCATATGATCAAGTACAACAATGGAAATAGTAATGGAAAGGTGGGTGACTTATTGCCGTCAAGAACAGCTGCCTCTTTTGATATGAGACCAGAAGAACTAGGTAAGATCATGCCTGGCTACTAATACTGAATATTTTGATCAAACATTATATATATGAATCCTGCTCAAAAGAAGTGAAATGCAGAAAGGAATTTACAAAGTCATGGAGTCTGGATAAACCCTGAAACTTACCCTAAGACATTAGGATAGTGAAAGTTTGGTGTCAGCTTGACCAGGCCAGGATTCTCAGTGGTTTAGCAGTTGAGGTATAGTTATCACCATGGTGTGTGTGGGGGGGGCGGGTGCATAGGGCTTCCAAGGCTGTATGTAAATCTTTACAGGAGCAGAAAGACTCATCTTCCTGCTATAGAACAGCTGGTAGTTTTGAACTGCTGACCTTGAGCTTAGTAGCCCAACTTGTAACCACTACACTACCAGAGCTCTCCTTATCATTATGATGAGATCTAATCTAATACAGTCAATCCTGTGATATGATTTGATGAGATATACCCTGGATTGTTGTAATTATAGTGTGTTGTAAATCCTCCCTTCCATGGTGTTAATGAGCAGTCCTGGTGTGGCACCTTCGGATAAGCACTGGACCACAAGATCTGTTTGAACTGCAAAGTTGGCAGTTCAAACTCACCAGCTGCTCCTCGAAAACTCTACACAGGGTTGGTAAGAGTTGGAACCGACTCAACGGCACTTAACAACAACAGCATGATGTTAATGAGGTCAGATGCAATTTACAGGATTAGGTTGTATCGCGTCCATCTCTTTTGATATATAAAAGAAGAATGAAGTGTGCTGAGCTCAGAGGGACATACTCCCACCAAGATGGAAGAGCCAGGAGTGAAGTGAGTCATTTGAACCTGGGGTTGTGCACCATGAAGTACCAAGATCCAGGGGAAGATTGGTGCCAAGATGTATGGATATCTCCAAGAAATACTTGATTTACAGATGCTTAAAGGAGACAAGGACCTTTCCCCAGAGCCAGCAAAGAGAAAGCCTTCTCCTAGAGCTGGCATTCTGAATTTGGGCTTCTAGCCTCCTAAACTGTGAGAAAATAAATATCTGGTTGTTAAAGCTGTCCACTTGTGATAGTTCTGTTACAGCAGCATTAGAGAACTAAGTTAGATTATCTTTAAACCTTAAGCCAAACCTATCTTTTGCTGTCTCCTTAAAACCAAACAATTGTTTAGCTTAACTAGTAAATCATGTCTGCCTTAAACATTATGCTCTTTAAGATCTACCCATACATGGGACCAAAGGGACAATAGCAACCCAGAGATTAGATGGAAATTTTAGGGGGCCATGAATATACATTAATGAGGGAGGAACTACTCAGGGGGGTAAGAATGACTGAGAATGAATACAACTCGAAAAATGTAGCCGCGTTCACTGAAATGTACATGTAGATACTTGAATTGGTGCATTTTTTTTTTTACTGTGCATAGTCTCAAAAATAACAAAAATTATTTTTTTGAAGTATTAATTACAGTTTATGGTGAGGAGGTGAGAGTCACAGTGAAGCAGCCATACTGCTAGCTACAGAAGCCCTGGGAATTTAGTCCCCTCCTTTCCTCATTCTCTCCTGTGCAGAACCTTTTACTTCTTTAGTCTGGTCTTTGTTTTCTTAGAATCTAAGAGCCAGAGTAATTTAAACCCCACCCAGTTTTGTCTTACCAAAAGGAGTAGCTAGATGAAATTTCATAGTAATTTTTTTTTAAGTTCTCTATGTGGTTTGGGTTCCGCTCCATGCAAAAGTAGAATCATTAATAACCATGATTCCTGAATGCCTCTGTTTATTTAAAGGATCAGCCCTAGTCAGAACTATAAAGTTTATGTAAAAAGCTTAGTCTGATGATTAATGAATCGTTTAACCACTATATATCCTTTGTCTTTCATAGGATGCTACAGATGAATTGGATGCCTTACTTTTATCTCTAACTGAGAATTTAATTGACCAGACCACCATACCTCAGGTAAATAGACTTTAAAGAGCAATATGGAAAGGGATTTCCATTTTGAAATGTTCCTGCTAGATTTAGATTTTTGCCTGTTTGGAAATTTAGTAAAACTTCAGAAACATTCAGGTTTTAATCACTACTTAGCATTGCCATTCTGTATTAAAATCTACCACTTTCAATGTGCACGTTACCTGTTACTATAAGCCCTATTTATAGTTTAGAGTCCTGGTGTGGCGCTGTGGATTAATGCATCATACTGCAAAGCCATTTGAACTGCAAGGTTGGCGGTTCAAGCTCACCAGCTGCTCTTCAGAAACCCTATCCAAGGTCACTATGGGTCGGAACTGACTCGATGACACTTAACAACACCACCACCATAATAATAACATGAAAGGAAACTTGTGGGGATAATCAGCATCTAAAGATCTACAATGATAAGGACATATTTCGTTTGTTTCAATTCTAATAAAAGGTGGTAGTGTTGATTGCCGTCAAGTCGATTCTGATTCATAGAGACCCTGTATAGGCTTTCTAAGGAGCAGGTGGTGAGTTTGAACCACCAACCTTGCTGTTATTAGCACTTCAGTGCTTATCCTACAGTGCCACACCGTGAAGCATAAAAATAGGTGACATTGAGCCTATCAATTCATTATTACAATGTGGAAGATACTGGGTTAAGTGCAGTGACTGTAATACATTAATTTAGTGCCTATGAGGCATATGATAAGAACTGCTGTGAAAAGTAGATGCCATTCTGAGGGCTCAGAAGTACAGGCGGTACTGTCCTTGGTGCTGAGTGTTTGCTTAGATCATTCCTCTCAAATTTTGGTATGTGTTAAGAGTCGCCTAGAATGTTGTTATGTGCTACTGAATCGGTTCCGACTCATAGCCACCATGTGTGGGGTTTTCAAGGAGCCACTGGTAGGTTTAAATTGCCAACCTTGCGGTTAGCAGTCCTTTGCTTATCCTACAGCACTACACCAGGACTACTTACCTGGAATGTTGTTCTTCTTAAGTGCTGTCCAGTTGATTCTGACTCATAGCAACCCTGAATAGGGTTTCCATAGAGTGACTGGTAGGCTTGAACTACTGACCTTGTGGTTAGCAGTCCAATGCTTATCCTACCACACCACACAAAGACACGGGTGTATTAAAACACAGATTGTTGGACCCATCACAGAGATTCTGATTGGGCAACTCTGGGCTGCATTTCTGATAGGTTCCCAGGTGGTACAGATGTAGTCTGGAGTTACTGTTCTTAAACCACCAGTTTAGATCAATAAACAAGGGTACTTCACCAAAGGACAAGAATTAATCTCTAGTGCAGAACAGGAGTCCTGATGTGCTGCTGCAGGATGCTGCACTGGACCACAGGGTCAGCATTTCAAACTCACCAGTCATTCCTCGGAAACCCTCTATGGGGTCGCTATGGGTCAGAACCGGCTCGATGGCACTTAACAACAGTCCAGAATACTTTATAAGTAGAATATAAAAAGGAAAGTGGCAATAATAATAAAGACTTCTAGGATTGATACAATATGGCTTAAAACCTGGAGTTGGAAAACTTAGGCACCTATTCCATGTCTACTCTTTCAGTGGGGAGAGAATGTTCTTATTTCATATAGTCGATCTGGTTCCAACTTAAAGCCTTATATACAGAAAGACCAAAACACAGCCTGGACCTGTGCCATCCTCACTTCATGCCTGTGTTTGAGTCCATTGTTGCAGCCACTACACCAATTACTCTTGTTGAGGGCCTTCCTCTTTTGCACTGGCCCTCTAATTTTCCAGCCTTAATGTTCTACTCCAGGAACTGGTCCCTCCTGATAGCATGTGGCGGACAGAGTCTCACCGTCATCCCTTCATCGAAGTGTTTTGACTGTACTTCTTCTAAGACAGGTTTTTTCGTTCTTCTGGTTCATGGTGTATTCAATATTCTTTGTCAAAACCGTTAATCAAATACATCAATTCTTCTTTAGTCTTCTTTATCCAGTGTCTAACTTCTGCATGCATATGAAGTGACTAAAAGTACCATAATGTGAATCAGGTCCTCAAAATGACATCTTTGCTTTTTATTACTTGGCAGCTTAGGTCTTTACCCAAAATGCAATATGTTATTTGATTTCTTGACTGCTACTTCCATGGCTATTGCTTGTGAACCAGGTAAAAAGAAATCCTTGACAAACATCAGTATTTCTCCATTTATCACGATGTTGCTTACTGGTCCAGTTAAGAGGATTTTTGTTTTCTTTATGCGGAGATGTAATCCATACTAAAGGCTATAGTCTTAGTTCTTCACTTTGAGCAAGCAAGGTTGTGTCACATACATATCTCAGGTGGTTAATGAGTCTTCCATCAATCCTGAAGACACTTTCTTCTTCATATAGTTCAACTTCTTGGACTTACTGTTTTTACTGTTGGCTCCGCATAGGAATAAAATAAGTATGGTGAAAGATGCAACCCTTCCTCTCACATATCCTCATTTTAAACCACATAATCCTTTATGCTATTTGAATGACTGCCTCTTGGTCTTTATGTAGGTTCCACGTGAACACAGTTCAGAATTCTGGAATTCCCATTCTTTGCAATAATGTGGTATAGTCCACACAGTCAAATGTGCTTACATAGTCAATGAAACACAAGTAAACATATTCTCTGCTTTCAACCAAGGTCCATTTAATGTCAATAATGATATTCCTCCTTCCACATCCTCTTTTGAATTCAACTTCTGCTGCAACCATTTATGAATTATCTTCAGGAAAATTTTACTTGCATGTGATTTTAATGATATCATTCAATGATTTACACATTCTGTTGGGTAGCCTTTCTTTGGAATGGACAAAAATATTAATCTCTTCCAGTTGGTTCACTAGGTTGTCTTCCAAATTTATTAGCATAGATGACTGAGCTCTTCCAGCATTGCATCCTTTTATTGCAACATCTCAGTTAGTATTCTGTCAATTCCTGGAGCTCTGTTTTTTACCAGTGACATCAGTGCTTCTTCCTTCAACACCATTGGTTCTTAATCATATGTTCCCTCCTAAAATGGTTGAATGTTAACCTGTTCATCTTCCATCTTTTTTTATGCTTTCTGTATCATTGGTTATTTTGTTCACAGAGTCCTTCATTGTCGTAACTCGAGGCTTGAATTTTTGCTTCAGTTCTTTCAGCTTCAGAAAAAAAATGCAGTTTTCCTTTTTGGTTTCTAAACTCCAGATCTATGCACATCTTATTATAATACTTTTTCAACTTCAGATGGAACTTACAAGTGATCAGTTGATAGTCTGTTCCATAGTCAGCCCCTGGCCTTTTTCTGACTGATAATATTGAGCTCTTCATCACCCCTTTTACAGATGTAGTTGATTTGTTTTCTGTATATTCCAGCTAGCGAGGGTCATAAATATAGTCACTGTTTATGTTGTTGAAAAAAAGGTGTTTGTAATGAATAAGTCATTGGTTATCCAAAATTCTATCATGTGATATCTGGCATAATTTCTATCACCAAGGCCATGTTTTCAAATTACTGATCCTTCTTCATTTCCAGCTTCCACATTACAATTACCAGTAATTATCAGTGTATCTTGGGAGTCCTGGTGTGGCACTGTGGGCTAGTGCATTAGACTGCAAAGTCATTTGAACTGCAAGGCCAGTGGTTCAAGCTTACCAGCTGCTCCTTGGAAACTTTATGCAGGTTCGCTATGGGTCAGAATCCACTCAGCGGCACTTAACAACATCAGTGTGTCTTAATTTCAGACTGCAGAAGATTATAAAAATAATTTTCATTTCCTCATCTTTGTGGAATTAGTGGTTGGTGTGTACAATTGAATAATAGCCCTATTAATTGTTCTTCCTTGCAGGTGTATGGATATTAATCTATCACTGACAGTTTGAGGAGTCCTGGTGGCACTGTAGAGTAAGCACTGGACTGCTAACAACAGGGTCTACATTTCAAACCTCCCAGTGTTACTTCCAAATCTTGGGTCTTATGCCCTGGAGTGATTGGACCCAATCAATAGCCACTCCAGGTGAAGCAGACAAAGAGAGAAGCCTTTAACAGAAAGTCCACTAGTGGAACACCCCACAGCAAGCAGGCTGGTGTAATTGGCATTCACGTGACACTTGGGTACAAGCAGTATTTAAACCACTTCTCCACGATGCTAATTACATAGTACATGCAAGTGGGCTTTAATTCTCAAATTCATACTAAATCACGAGGGAGTCACAAGACCCCAATAAAAATTTTAGAGAAGGCTGTGATTAATCATCTTGGCATCTGCTTGTCCAGATGGTCACTTATGAGTTTCTCAGACAGGGATTAGACTGCAGGCAGAATCAGGCAATTACTACAATCAGTAACATGCCAACATAAATGAGCTCAAACATACATTGAGGAGATGATGACAGAGTGGAAGTGTAGGCATTCTTTCAGGCAATGTTAATTACATCTTCTCATAACTAGACAGAAATGCTATCCGTCTCATATTCTCAATCTGCAGAATGGTTGCACTAATGCTCCTACCAGCCCCTCAGTGAGACAAAGATGAGGTTGTCTGCTCCTGTAAAGATTTAGTTGTATAAACCTTATGTAGGGTCGCGATGAGTCAGAATGGACCGTTTGGTTAGCAGTCCAGTGCTTACTATACAGCATCATGAGAGCTCCTTTAAGTCCTTGAAAATCCCCCAGTAATTAAGTATATTTGATTAGGCCTCTAGACCACACCTGAGAGTTTATTATGCTAATTAGGTGACTCAGATAGGGACTGGACAGGTCAGAAAGACAACTGAGTGAAATCAGCTGATCTAGGGCTGGGGACAACCACTCTTCTGTCAGTTTGTTGTAATGTGGTAGTTTGAGTGTTGCTGGGATGCTGGAAGCTATGCCAATGATATTTTAAATACCAGTAGGATCACCCATGTGGATAGGTTTAGCTGAGCTTCCAAACATAAGACAGACTAGAAAGGAGAGGCAAATTACTTCTGAATGTTTAGCCACTGAAAACTTCATGAATACCAGGAGAACACTGTCAAATATCAACAGAATGTTGAATATTGAAACATGATGCATAGCAACAGAGTATTGTCAGATCGAGTGTAAAAGGGTGAGCTCCTCAGGTTGGAAGGTGCTCAAAATATGACTGGGTCCTCAAAGTAGAATGGAGTAAAGCCTTCAGGACCTTCATTTGCTAATGGGGCTCATCTCAAAATGAGAAATAGCTGCAGACATCCATTAATAAACAGAAGGTGGGATGTATGAAGTATGAATCTAGGAAAATTCAAAGTTGTCGAAAGTAAAATGGAACACATAAATATCGATATCCTAGACTTCTTGTGTGGTGCTGTGGATCAGTCCTGGAATGTGAACCATAGGTCAGCAGTTCACACCCATCAGCTACGCTTCAGAAACGCTATACAGGTCACTATGAGTCAGACCCGATTCGATGGCACTTCAACAAAAACAAGGGCTTTAGTGAACAAAAAAGACTAGTGTTGGGCATTTTGAATCTGATGATCATGTGGTTTACTGTGCTGGAATGACAAGTCAAAGAGGAATCACATCACAGTCATCATCAAAAAGAACATTTCAATAACAATCTTGAAATGTAATTCTTTCTGTGATAGGATAATATCAATATGCCTACAAGGAATACCTGGAGTGCAGTGACTCCATACGATAAACACTGGACTGTGAACCACACAGTCCACAGTTCCAGCCTGCCAGCTGATCCTTGAGAGAAAGATGAGACTTTCTGCTCCTTTGAAATTCTAAAGCCTTGGAAATCTTATCTAGGGTTACTATAAGTCAGGACCTTCTCAATGGCACATAACAGCAGCAACAAGGAAGACCAGTTAATCCCACCATTATTCAAATTTATGCACCAACCACTAAAGCCAGTGATAATGAAATCGAAGAATTCTAACAACTTCTTCAGTCTGAAACTGATCAAATATGCAATCCAGATGTATTGATAATTACTGGTGATTGAAATGCAATGGTTGGAAACAAAGAGGAAAGGATCAGTAGTTGGAAAATAGGCCTCAGTGATAGAAATGATGTTGAAGATCACATGATAGAATTTTGAAAAACCAATGACTTGTTCATTGCAAATACCTTTTTAAACAACATAAAAGACAACTAAACACATGGACCTCACCAGACGGCATACACAGAAATAAAATTGACTACATCTGTGGGAAGAAATGGTGGAAAAGCCCCATATCATCATCCAAAACCAGGCCAGGGGCAGACTGTGGAGCAGACCATCAATTTCTCTTATGTATGTTCAGGCTGAAGAAAATTAAAACAAGTCCACAGAGTCAAATATGACCTTGAACATATCCCACCTGAATTTAGAGATTATTTTAAGAACAGATGCATTACATTTGATGCATTGGACCCTAATGACAGAAGACCAATAGAGTTGTGGGATGACATCAAGAACATCATACAGGAAGAAAGCAAAAGGCCATTAAGAAAAGAAAGAAGGAAAAGACCAAAATGGATGTCAGAAGACACTGAAAAGTTTCATCTTTTCTCATCCAGTAGAGAGATGTTAAAGTGAATGGAAGAAATGAGGAAGTAAAAGAGCTGAATAGAAAATTTCAAAGGGAGCTCGATAAGTCAGAGTCAAGTATTTTTTATCTTACAAAGGCTTTCGACTGTGTAGATCATGACATGCTTTGGACAACATTATAGAGAGTTAGTATTCTGGAATATTTGTGCTTGAGGAACCTGTCCATAGACCAATAGACAGTTGTTCGAATAGAACAAGGGGGCACTAAATGGTTTAAAATTAGGGAAGATGTGTGCTAGGGTTGTATTTTCACCATTCTTACTCATTCTGTACACTAAGCAAATAATCTGAGAAGCCAGATTATGTGAAAAAGAACATGGCATTAAGATTGGGGGAAGACTCATTAACAACCTGCAATATGCAGATGATACAACCTTGCTTGCTATAAGAGAAGAGGACTTAAAATACTTAACTGATGAAGATCAGAGACCACAGCCTTCAATATGGGTTGTGCTTCAATGTAAAGAAAACAGAAAATTCTCACTGGACTAATAAATAACATCAAGATTAATGAAGAAAAGATTGAAGCTGTCAAGGACTTCATATTGCTTGGAACAACCATCAACACTCATGAAAGCAGCAGTCAAGAAATCAAACGATATATTAGGCAAATCTGTGGCACAAGACCTATTTAGAGTGTTTAATATCATAGATGTCAGTTTGAGGACTAAGGTGCATCTGACCAAAAGCCATGTTATTTGGAATAGTCTCATATGCATGTGAAAGTTGGGCAATGAACATGAAAGACAGTAGGAGAATTGATACACTTGAGGTATGGTGTTGGAGAAGAATACTGAATGTGCATGGAATGCTAGATGAACAAACAGATAGATTCCGTGGTGGCAACGCTTTGTGTCTCATACTTTGGACATATCCAGAGAGACCAGTCCCTGGAGAAGAACATCACGCTAGATTAAGTGGAGGGTCAGAAAAAAAAATAGATAAATTGGCATAGTGGCAGCAGCAATAGGCTCCAGCTTATCTACAATTGTGAGGTTGGTGCAGGATCGGACAGTGTTTTGTTCTGTTGTGTATAAGGTGGTTGTGAGTTGGAACCGACTCGATGGCATCTAACAGCAACAACAGGACTTGGGGAGAGAGCAAGATTTCAATAACTTCCCACATAGTGAGGAGGCCTCCAAGAAAATCTCTGGACACAGAAGCTGCATGGGTTTCCTGGCTGGTGAACGACACTGATGACTGTGGGAGCGTAGGGTGTCCCTCTCGGAGAAAAGTGAATGTTCTCATTGAGAACCTTGTGCATTTCTTCATTGCTATCCTTTCTCCTATAATAAAGTTGCTTTCTGTGGGTTGTAGTGAGTTATTGAACCTCCACTTAGTCATAAGTCAGCAGGTTAGAAGTGAGGGAGGCTTATGACTGGCATCTGAGGGCTTGGGCAGACTGGGAGGTTGGGAGGACTGAGCCATTTTACTTGAGGTCTAACCTAGTTCTGGTGCCCTGGTGTGGCGCTGTGGGTTAATGCGCTGGACTGCAAAGTTGGTTTGAACTACAAAGTCAGTGGTTCAAGCTCACCAGTGACTCCTCAGAAACCCTATACAGGGTCATTATGGGTCAGAACCAACTTGACAACACTTAACAACAGCAAACTTGCTCCAGGTGGGTAGGATCAGTAGAAGTAGTAGCACATGTGCTGCTAGTGTCATCAAAATGGATGGGGAACACAGGGAAATACAATTGTTAACAAATTTATTTTTACTTTTCTACTCAGTTGGTGATAGAAAAGTAGGATTTGAATTTGCACTCACCATGTATTTCATGATAGTAGAAGACATTGTGAATATAATTATGACAATAAACCAGTCTCTCTAAAATAAATACATGAATTTTTTTAGGTATCTGCAGCATCCATGATCACACCCCGTTGGATTGTGCCAGTAAGTTCACGATAAATATAATTTTTCTTTCGGTTACCCTTTCAAAATGAGTCTGAAGCTGACCATCAGTTTTTTATTCTTCCTTAAAAACAGAAGAGTTGTTATAGATCTCTGTAGCTGAGTTTAATGGTTTCACCCTAGTGACTTAACATTTCTGGCTGTAAAAACTTGCCCCTCCAAAAAAAATCTGAGGTTGCGGATGATAAAGGAAAAATAAGATGTCCAAAACCATTTTCTTTATTACCATAATTCCTAGTGAAGCTGGCTGGGAGCTGAAGTGTTGAGTAGACATTGTTTGTTGCCTCTATGTTAAGACATGTTGTGTATTTCTTACAGCAGAGTGGTGTCGTGTCTAATGGACTTGTAGGAGATGGGATGGCCTTGGCTCAGAATGAGGGGTATGATAATAAAGAAGCAATCTCATTGATCTCTCCCCCAGCACCATTCTTAGTGGATGCTGTGACCAGGTGAGGAAATTCTTAGGCACCTATGAGGAGGTTAAACATAAAAAATTATATACATAAGCAACAATATCAGTTCATCTGTAGTTGAACTTCATTGAAATTAGATAGATATTTTCTGTTTGTTATTTAATGTATTTTTTTCTTGTCAGGAGCAATTTCGTACCAAGCTATGAAATGGACCTCAAGGTTTCTTTACAAAGTTATCCTTGCTATATTATCTTTTAAAAATGTATTATTTCTTTTTAAATTAATTTATATCTTTTCTTCAAGCATTACTGTTGTTAGTAAGCGTCACTTGTCTAGATAGTAGTGATGAATGGTGGTGCCCATTAACGTAGGTGAAGAGTCGGTGTGCAAGAAGAATTTCTTTCAGGAGAATTAGCATGAGGTTGATCCTATGAGGTGGAAGTTAAAAACCTCATCCCAGATGTCTGATGTTTTCAAGCTGCCATACCACTGTGTAATCCCTGATCACCCCCCACTTATCTCCTCATGTCCCCGGGTTTTGCAGTTTCCTTCACTGTCTCACAGAACTCCCAAACTGTCAGGACAACGGGTCATGTAGTTGGAAGACTGACTAGTCCCAAATCCATAGTTCAGGATTCTTCTCACCCTGTGGATGCCAGGCTGAGGAACCCAAATCGGCAAGCCAAATGGCAGGCTGCGGATTCATTAGGCTGCAGGAGCTTGTGAAGCAGGACAGGCAGAAGGAACAAGCTTCAGTAACTGGAGGTCAGACAGAGATGAGCCAAGGACAGGATCCAGAGCAAGAGAGTGCGCTTTGCTAACGCCTTCTTGTGTCTATTATACAGACTATACCCCCAAGGTAACTAATGATGGTGACTGGTCAGACCCTCTAGTAACATGGGTATAGCCTTGTTGTTTTTAAGTGCTATCGAGTCAATTCTGACTCTTAGTGACCTTGTATGGGGTTTCCAACAAACAGCTGGAGAGTTCCAACCTCTGACCTTGCAGTTCAAACCCACCCCTGCAGTCCAGTGCTTATCTTACAGTGCCACACCAGGACTAACAAGGGTATACCCTTTATCCCACCTTAATCCTTGTTGTTTTTATGATTCACAGCAACTCTACGCACAACAGAATTGAAACACTGCCCTGTCCCATGCCATCCTCACAACTGGTACTATGTTTGAGCCCATTTTTATTTCCACTGTGTCGATCCATCTCATTGGGGGTCTTTCTCTTTTTCACTAACCCTTTCTTTCTCCAGGGACTGGTCCCTCCTAACAACATGTCCAAAGTAAGAAAGAGGAAGTCTCGCCACCCTTGATTCTAAGGAACATTCTGAGTGTACTTTGCTTCCAACACAGATTTATTTGTTCGTCTGGCAGTCCATGATACTTTTAATACTCTTCTTCAACACCATAGCTCAAATGCATTGATTTTTCTGTGGTCTTCCTTATTCATTGTCCAACTTTCATACGCATATGAGGCAATTGAAAAATACCATGACTTGGGTCAGACACACCTTAGCTCTCAAACTGACATCTTTGCTCTTGAACACTTTGAAGAGGTCTTTTGCAGCAGATTTATCTAATGCAGTACATGGTTTGGTTTCTTAACTGCTGCTTCCATGAGCATTGTTTGTGGAACCAAGCAAAATAATACCTTTAACAATTTTAATCTTTTCTCAATTAATCATGATACTATTTATTGGTCCAGTTGTGAGAATTTTTGTTTTCTTTACATTGGGTTGTAATCCACACTGAAGGCTGCTTATCTTCATCAGTATTTTAAGTCCTCATTGAAAGCAATGAAGACTTAAAATACTTGATAATGAACATAAAAGCAAGCAGTGTTGTATCGTCTACATATTGCAGGTTGTTAATCTCCGGAGGAAACAGTCGCCGGAGAAGGATGTCATGCTGGGTAAGGTGGAGGGTCAGAGAAAAAGAGGAAGACCCCTAACGAGATGGATTGGCCAGGTGGCATCATTGATGG